AATAATAATAATAATAATAATAATAATAATAACCTGATATTGTGCTCTTCGACAAGGCTCCTCGTGACATTTATGTCATAGAGTTTTTGGCCCCGGCTGAATACAACATCTCAGTCAAAGAAGAGCACAAAAGACAAATATATTAGGATCTCCTGTTTGAAATTGGCAAACGTTACCCAGGTTATCGTGTCAAGCTTGTCGTCCTGATTGTTGGTGTCCTTGGAGGGATGAAACAGTCTTTTGTATCCTCACTTGCCAGAGTTCCAGCTTGCTCATCAAAAGCTGAGTTCTTGGCAGTCAGGATGCAGAAGGCTGTGATACTAGGTTCCCTCCGTCTACTTAGGAAAATGACTTTGGCCTGCTGTGATCACTAACCGCCTTGTTGTGCGGAGTGGTCCAGCAGTAATGGATGGAGCTCAGGCTGGGCCCTCGGAGAGTCGGACTCCGGGGACAACCCCCCTGAGCATTTAATAACATAATAATAATAAATATTAAACTCAGAGAATTGTAGTAGCTATCAAAATTATTGGAGTTACTTTTATGAGCCATTTTACTATAACATGATGCTACATTAGAGAACTTATTTTAATCAAGATAATTGTAATTTTTATTTGAATCAATTTCATCAAAATGAATTTATTATGCTTCAATTCCAAATTTCTGTAATAATTAAATTATGTTCTTGATCTTTTGTAATCGATAATGAACGTTTTAAAGAAAATATTTGACATCACATTTTTTGTTACAAGTAATTGAGTTATTTAATTAATAAATTTCATTGTCAAAGTGTATAAGCTGAAATAGATGTATGTTATTATTATAAAATTCTATGCCGTAAAATTGTGAAATTGAGAAACTTGAAAAGTAATCGAGGTTATTGACAAGGGAATGTTGATAGTTAGCTATTCTTATACGTTATATAGAAAAAAAGCTATTCTTATACGTTCAGAAAAAAATAATAAGAATGTCACCGTCGAAGAGAAAATTCACTGAGGACGAACGTCTTTACTTAGACAGAATGTTTCAAATGAATCCGTATCCCTGTCCATTAATCAGAGAAAATTGCTGAATCAGTAGGTCTTACGGAGATGCAAGTTAGAAATTGGTTTCGGATGAAAGAAAGGAGGAAGTATTCACACCAGAACATCAACCAGAATCAGAACTGTCAAGTGGAAGTACAGAAAAAGGATTGGTACTATAACGTCAACCAGGATCAGAACCGTCAAGTGAAAGAAAGGAAGGAGGATTTGTACCAGAACGTCAACCCAAACCTAGAAGAATGTGTCTATAATCAAGTTGAGCTAAATGATATAATTGATTGATCAAACGAGGCCGCCGAAGGCGGCCGAAGTTTGATCTAAATTATCCGAGTGTCTCGCACGAGAGATTACGAAGGTAGTATCACTACTTTTATGTTTCAAACCACAAGTTCAGAGCCTAAAAATTTGATTTACGCGCGGCTACCGGCACCTGTGGCGCCACCGCGCTACTATTTCTCATCTAGTTTAAAGCTAACTAATTTTTTCCTATTTCAATAATCGGGTGGGTATCTCCGGATGGCAGTCGGGTGGGAATCTCTCGTGCGAGACACTCGGATACAGTGCTCCCCCCCTAAGATATCAGACTCAGGGCTCTGGTTCCAGGAAAGATATTTTAGAGAGGTACCCCTTCCACTCTTAAAAGGTGGAGCTATTAAAAATAGAAGCATGCGCAGTAGCCTACGAAACATTTAAAAAAAGCGCGAAATATTTAAAATGAATTATTTATTTTTTTGACATTTGTCGACACAGTTACCATTTATCACAATATGACACATGTTTTACAGTGCAAAAATATTAAATTTAAATTTAAATTTACAACTTAAGTTATATTTTAAGATATTACATAAAATATGGTATTGAACAGTACGTAAAATTAAACTTTCAGCTATACACTCGTACATTATCTAGATTTAAAGTTATTCATGAAATCTTAAATGTAAATTGGGTACATGTAATAATATCACTTTTATGTATTAATTTAAAAATACCTAATTAAGAGATAAATTGTCAAAGGCAAAGTTTTCAGCCTGAGATTTTAAAAATTCTCTTAATTCAAATAAGGTGATTAATTGACTAGTCGTATTGCCATTCTGATCACAGTATCTTATCAAGGTTTCAACAGCCTGTATGGCTTCCGTAGTTGAAACTTTTGATATAATTAAATTAATACATTCATTATAAATATCGCAGCTATCACTAGTTGCAATGTTTTCAACATTAATATTCTCAACATTTTCTAGATTTCTATCTTCATTAATTATATCAATAATCTCTTCATCAGTCAGAATATCATTCGGGCTAAGTGTGTTCTGAGAATGGAACCAACTCCTTACATCATCTATTTGCACATTCGGTAAATTTCCACGATTTCTCATGACATCACAAAATTCATCTAATATCTCAGTACCACTTGCAGCACCTCTTGATTCATCAGATGACGGAGTCCCCTCAGGTTGAGAAATAGAATTTAATGGCCACAACTAAAAATTAAATAGTATTATAGTAATTGAGCATCAATTTACATCTATATAAACATTGTTATCATTCAACATACCGTCATCCATGATTTCCTGATTGTATTTGGCAACACTTTGTTCCATGCATCAGCAATCCAAAAAATAACCTCCTTTATACTGATAGCTTTTAGACTGTCCAATAAAGAACTCCCATTATTAACAGAATCAATGACGTGTGCCATTAAATTACTGCGATAAAATAATTTTAAATTCTGCAGACAACCTTGATCCATCGGTTGTAACAAGCATGTTGTATTTGGAGGAAAAAAACGGACTGATATGTTACCTTTTGTGAGGGATGGATGTGCAGCACAGTTGTCAACAAACAAAACAGCTTTTTTGAGCCCTTTTTCGGCTAGAAATTCAGATACAACCGGTACAAATTCTTTTTCAAACCACTCTTTAAATAAAGCGGATGTCATCCACGCCGATTTTTGGCTTTTATAATAAACCGGTAACGTCTTCAAATTTTTAATTGCTCTAGGTTTGGCAGACTTACCAATCAATACAAGAGGTAGTTTCAAAGTTCCTGACGCGTTACTACAAGCCATTATTGTTACTCTCTCTTTTTTACCTTTTATACCAAAAGCTCCAGCTTCACATGCTGCTGTCAATGTTGTTGACGGCAACATTTTATAATTTAACGGACTTTCATCACAATTAAATACTTCATCTAATGACAGGCCCTCCTCTGTAACATAATCTTTAAACTCAGATTTGTATTTATCGGCAGCAACGGCATCCGCTGACAGTTTTTCTCCGCAGATTTTTTTGTTACGAATCTGGTGTCTTTGCTGCCATTTATAAAGCCAGCCATTACTTGCCAAAAATTTATTCTTACCACCCATTTTTTGATGAAAGATTTTGGCTTGAAGTTGTACATGAGTACCCTGAACTGGAACCCCAGCAGCTCGTTTTTCTTTAAACCAAAACCAAGTGGCCATGTCAACATATTCATTATCTATTTTTCGCATTTTTTTAACTTCTGGTAATTCATCACCATATTCCTGCACTAAATTATCAAACTTTTGTTTATTTTTTTCCCACTTATTAACTGTTTGCGTGGTTACATTAAGGTTATTAGCAATAACATTTTTTGGGATCCCATTACTTAATTCTTTTAAAGCATTAACTTTAACCGAAACGGGTACCGCTGTCGGTTGTTTACGCTTTGATGTGTTAATATTTTTATCGCTTGACATAAGATACTTTTTTATTTATAATCAATAAACTTAATAGTATACTAATATCACAACAATCTTAAATCTTACTATCCATAAGTATATCTATGTGTACATATGTAAACAGCTGACTTATAGTAGTGGCTCAAGCGCATGCGCGAGTGAATTCCACTGAGTGTAGTGGGGAAACTGAATTGAGGGGAAATGGTAGTAAAATGAGGTGAAGTGATATCTTACAGAGGGATATCTTAGGGGGGGGAGCACTGTAACATAATAATTAAAGATAAAAATAAAAAATGATTAAACAAATTTTTTGTTTGTATTGGGTAATTTATTACTTAATTTATAATAATCGTACAATTATCAAACACAGCCGAGAAAAATGAACTTATAAATAATAACATGTATATTACTATTCTATTTATATAATGAATTAATTGATAAGTTTGACTTGTGAGTTAAGGATTACATAATTGTATAAATTACTATTATGCATATTATTATTTTTCGCGGTCGAGAAAATCCGTCACTTGGTATATTTTTTTTATTTTATGTTTTCAAGTACACAATTAACCCCGAGAATATTCATACATATATATACACATACATAAAGATGAATATAAATATATGAATGTTATCGTGTCCTATTTTTACATTATTATTTAATTTACAATGCAGTAGTATCAATATCAATAATTATTATTAATTATAGTTTTATTTCGAGGCTTTACAATAAACCTGAAGGCATAATAGACAAAATCAAAAAATAGAAAGAGAGAGAATGAAAATATTTAAATATGCATTTTCGTAACTACTCTTCGTTTTTTTTTTTAATCCCTATAATATATAGCAAAAAATTATAATTTTATAATGATCACAGGCTTTTTTTTATGTATATTATTTAAAATTTGACTTTTTTTTTTTTAAATATTATTTATATTCGAATTAAATATTATTCGCTGGTAATTATTTATAAATTACTTATTAATTTTTACATTTAACTGCACAGCAGAAATAACATAAAATAACTTTTCAAATATTATAATGCTAATATATAACAACAATAAAGAGTGCAACTATATGTCGAGACGACAATAAAATAATTATATTTATTTAGTTTAACATTTTTATTAGTTATATTTTTTAAATTTACTTTGTCTTTGGTCCGTAGAGCATTAAATGTAATTTTTTTTATTTTTATGCAATATGTATGAATATTATAATTATAATATTATGTAATTTTTAAAAAGTTTGCTTTTAGCCTATTAGTTATACATATTTGGGTGGTTTTAGAAAGAGATATTATTCAAATATAACTTATTAGATTTTAAAATCGGTTGTTAATAAAATTTTGCTTTAGAATTAATTTGTTTTTTTTATGACAACTTTTATATTATGTCATGTGATTTTTTATAATCTTTATTATTTTGTTTCAATTATTGGTATTTTGTTATAAATTATGAGCAATTAAATTTCAATAGTGCGATAGTAGAAAATTAAGGATAAATTTTTATTTTTATTATTTAAAAATTATATCGAGTATAGTCATTAAACATTTCAATAATGCATTTGAAAAATATTAAGACATTTTACGATTAACAATAATTATTAAAAAAATAAATTTATTGAGTGCCAATTTTTATTTTAATTTTTTTAGGAATTATAAAAAATCAAGAAAAAATTTTTTAATTATTCTATTTTTGAAAATCTTTGAGAAAAAAAATTTCTAACCGTAAAAAAAATCAATTAAATAAAATTTTCATCAGTTTAAAGAAAAATTCAGAAATTATCTTTTTTCAAGTCAATTTTCAAATTCACAAAAAAATTAATTTGAACCAAGAAAATAATTTTGAAAAATTTTATCGTCTTGGTTTTAGTAAAAAAATTCTTAAAGTAAGAAATTTTACTTAATTCAAAACAATGAAACTCTTCAAAATTATTTTTTTGGTTCATGAATTTTTCTCTTGATTCAAGTTAATTTTTCTTTCCGTGTATAGACTAAAAGAAATAATTTTTTTTGAAAAAAATGAGCAATGTTGTAATAAGAAATTAATTTATTGAAAATTTTAAACAATTTTTTTTCTTAGCTGAAGAAATAAAAATTTTTCTCTTAGTAATTTCCTTGTTATAAAAAATTTTTTTGAATTTAGGAAAATCAATTTTCATTTAATTAAATATTTTAACAATTAATGTTTTTTATTTTTTTTTCAAATCAAAAAAACTTTTTTCCAAGAAAGTTACCGTGAGAAAAATTTTTATTTTTTCAGTTAAGAAACAAAATTTTTAAAAAATAAATTTCTTGTCCCAACAAATGCTAATTTTTTCCAAATAAATTTTTTCTATTAATTTCTATAGAACTTCACTTAATTAAAATTCAATTACAGCACATTAACAATAAAATACATTATCAAAGTCTTCCATTCAATTAACAATTGATTTCTTGACCTAAAAGTCAAATTTAATTAATATCTTTAATAAAATATTACCCAAATATATACAATAACCATTCCCTGAATAGCAAGTTATGTATTACTATCTCCAGGAAAATTAGCCGTTTATTTTCGGCGCTATTCAGTGGGAGAGTAAGCACATTCAGGTTTTATTATGAGATCGCCAACTATTTACGTTTATATAAATATATATTTGTGTATGCACACACATATACATAACTTTAATTAACTTGACAGCACATGAGGTATACACAGTATAAAGTAATAACTGCATTATTAATTATTATTAATTAGTCAAAATTTATTTTTTGCAATTTTTATATGCATATATTTTCGTTGTGTCAATTACAAGAGCGATTATTTTTCTCTTTTAGTTTTTTATTTTATAATTAGTCAATTAATAATTATTATTATTTATTTTATTTCATAAGTATATATTAGATTTTTTTGGCGTTTTAATAAGTGGTGCTTATTAAGTAATCATTGACTAATAAATTAGTGCGAGAAAATAGTTAAAAAGATTGTTTTTTTTTATAAGTTATAGTTTACCATATATTTGATTTAAAAAACAATATCTTAAAGTAATCTCATCGAAATTTAATTTCTATTGTAATTAATTATGGCTTTAATACTATTATTTATTTAATTTAATTAATCAATAATAGTTTATGTTTTAGTTTTATTTATTTCACTTTCCTATACCGCGGCGACGTATCTTCTCGTTAAACGTGTATGTGATGTATAAGTTAATTTATTAAATATTATTTGCACAGTTTTTCATATAAATTTAATCACCTAGTTTTTTTTTTTTTTTTTTCGACATAATGGTCTATCATATTGCAGTGCATTTATTGATAGTATAATACAGTTTTTATTTCTATTTTGCATAAAATAATTCAGGTAGATAAAAATCACTGCCAAAATTTAAAGGTTAAATATTAACACACTTGCAAAAATAAGTATTTCAATAGAAAAAATTCAATTGATTTGAAAATTATCTCGAAACAAAAAAATTGTTTAAAGAAAATTTATTTGCTTGGTTTCGAAGTTCTTGAACTTAAATTTTTGTATCTCCGATCGATAACTGTTGGATATTTAAGTTTCTTATGATAATATAGAAACTTGCAAGAGATTTGACTGTATCGATCAAGACACGGCTTTGTTGAAAGGTGACTTTATTATCAATCGAAGTTGAAATGCTGTTCAACGAGAGTATAAGTTTTAAGATAATTTTTCGTTCAATAGATCATTCTGGTTTCTAACTTAAAAAAAAAAATGATTTTTTCACATTTTTCGTAAGCACATTTATCTAAAAGTATTGTGTTAAAATTTCTGAATGATCGGATCATTGTAACTATAATATTTTACGATGTTTACGTTGGATTTTCGAGTGGAAGAAAATCAATTTTTTAAAAAAGCTAAAAGTAAGATTTTATTTTTTCAAATTAAAACAATTTTAAACTTGTTTATTTCAGAACTATATTTTTCTGGTTGACGTACATGATATCTCTACTGGTTACGACCAGTGACCCGATCTTAATAAAATTTAAACCACAAATTCTACATAGTAGTAGCTATTGCATCAGCTACAACCAAATCAAAATTTTGATTTTTATTATTTTTTTGGAACTCAAAACTGTGAAAAACAGATGACACTGAAGTTAGCAGACGTCTAAAAATTTCTAATTTTTTTTATTAATTAAATTACAACTAAAAAGATATTTATAAAAAATTGCACTTATAGTTTTTCAAGTTTTTTAAATGTGAATTTTTTTTTTTAATTATTTAATTGAAATTTTTTCAGTAAAAAATTTCTAAAAATTTTGAAATGTCGGCTAACTTCATTTTCATAAAAACAGCCTCATTTTTCAGTTTTTTTTTTAATATCCGTAGCTGATGCAATAACTAGTTATATATTGAAGGTAAATAATTTTGGTTTTTGTGTTTTAGAATAACCGTTATCAATTTATCATGTACGTCAGTGATATACCAACTTTTGGAGACGCTCTGCTCACCCGTTGTTAATTGATTTAAAAAATATGAAAAAACAATTTTAGATATTTTTTGTGTTATTCAAGAGTGTATTTGTTGAGCTGAATAAATTTTATATTAATGCCTAAGGTAAAAGCCCCAATTATTGACAGAAATCTAAATGTTGACACTCTAAATTATTTTTAAATATATTTAATTATTTGTAATAAGAATAACTATCATATAAATTTTTATTAAATGTCAGCTCAAAATATTAAATATTAATTATTAAAAAAAAATAAAGTTAGCACCAGTTCATCAAACCAGCTTACGAACGTTTATTTTCTTAACAACTTTGATTAGAAAAGCATTTTTTTTAAATGCCGAGTTTAAGATAATTTCTTCATCTAATCATATGTTCGTTTTTTTTTTTTTTTTAATTAACAATATATGAAAAATTTATAAAATTGAATAATCGAAATTAATTGTATGCTTTATAATATTTAAATAATGGGTGTCAATAACTAGTTGATAATTTTTAAGTTGAATCTCATATTAACAGCCATTGACAGCGCTATGACGCCTTTTTTTTCACTTTAATTTAAAAAATTTACTGTAAAAGTTTAAACTCTTCTGATTCAATAAATTATTTTTAAATAAATTTTTATATTTTTAAATGTAATTAATCATTTATTGAAATTATTATTAATAAACTTTAATAAAATTGATTATTTAATAATAAGTTTCGATAAATAAGAATAAGCAGATGATTCGACGCATGCGCAGTATAAGTGTCAATAATTGGGGTCAAGGTATGTCAATAATTAGATCAATCAGTTTTTTAACCTGCTAATAATTGGTGTATCCGGATAAATCTATTTAATTATTTTAAATTAATTAGTAAATATCAGTGATTATCATTTTAAAAAAAGAAATTGATTAGTAAAAACATTACTTGAGATATTTTACCACAAACAAAATTCAACGATATTGATATTTGTGGCTTAAAAAAAATCAAATCATAACTTGGTGTCAATAATTGGGACTTTTACCTTATAATAGTTTTTGTGTAAAAAAATAATGAATATTGGCTTTTTTTTAGCGCTGGAACCAGAATGACCCCTTAACAATTTTTAAGTTTCAACACAGTTCTTGTTGAACCTGACTGATTTTTCTAAATGAGTGAAATTCTTTCAATTCAAATCATCGAAAAAATTACTTTGATTAACATTAAACCGATGTGCTTTGAAGCTGATAAATTTTTGAAATTAAACGAATTGTATTGATGAAAAAAACGAAATTCTTGTTGAATGGTTCAGATTATTCGGGGAATTTGCAATAATTGAAATAAATATTTTATCACAGAGATAATTTAGTAGCAAATATTGACCTACTGGTTCAAACAATGATGGGCCAAATTTATATTCAATTCTTCACTAAAAATAATTATAGCAAAAATAACTAAAGGCATTAATAAAATTTCTACAAATAGCATTACGTTCTAATTAATTACATTTTCTCAGTATTATATTTCTAAATAAATAAATAACAATAGTATTTGAAACAAGAAAAAAAAACCAAAGTGTTAAGTTTAAAAAAGCTTCAACTATGACTTAGTTTAAAAAAATACTTTCACATTTACAATAGTATAAAGAGTATAAAAAGAATATAAATTAACATTTAAGTTTCTACAATGTTAAATATTAATATGAAATAAAATGATAATTATAATAAACTAATTAATGTTATTAATTTTGTTATCATAAAAATATGTGGAAAATCTACTATTTTAACGATAGCTACACGTAAAAGTGATTTTTGCAAAGCTGTTAACTTTAATAAAATAATTAATGAATTTCAATGGTTTGATAATTTTTAACATCAAATTATTTAAAAAAATTTATGATTTTCTGAGAAAACAGTAGACTGATAAACTGTATTCAAATATCATTGATAATATGATATTATACTTTATAATAATATTATTATAGATGTAGTATTACATAAAAAAATGCGTCTCATCTACTGAATTTTTTTTTTGGCAGTCAGTTTCAGATGAGATCTGAAAGTGTCTAGATATAGATTTATTTTTATGCAGTGATTGGAGTATTCCATCATTTTTCAGATAAAAAAAAATACGCTTTCCATAAACTTCTATTAATTTTAGCAATTTTAGTTTTAATTAAACGTACAAAGGTCTGAAGATTGTATAGAAAATTTTCAAAATTTTAATCTCCAGAATCAACCAAAAATTATATAGAATTTTTTCACAAGACTAAATTAATTGCTTCATATGTCTTTTATCACTTCTATTGAAAAATTCATTTATAATTGCTTGTTTTTACCTTTCCAGGGACACGGCGGTGCTTTGCGCCACTTTACCCGTTTGAACGCATGCGCGTGGATAGTTCTCGCGCAAGCAGACCGTGTCTCTTATGGATCATGATAAATATTGCATCTGTGATATAATCAAAATTCAATTATTTTGTTGATAAATTTAACGTATCAGTAATTTTTTTTATTTATCATTAACACTCGATTTTTTAAATGAGTTCACATCAATTATACACAAGAAAAATATTGGTCTGTTTTTAATATTGCTGAATACTTCTTTATATTTCACACTTAGCATAAGCTTTCTTACGTATTTATTATTTATAAAATTTCTATCATTAACTTTTTCGCTTTAATTATATCCTGCAAGTAATATCTGTATGCGGTCAAGTATGTTGATTTTTTGTGAGAAGGATGGTAACTTATATTATGATCAAACGAATTTATATTACATACCTCAAACAAGTGCGTTTAAAGTGCAGGTTAATTTTATGATGATTTATTTACGTTCAATTTTTTTACATCAAATTCTAAGCCGAAATTCTTTTTTTAAACACCAATTTAAAAGAAAACAGAAAAATTTGGTAAGTGCAATTATACATGCATTAAGTAATTATTTTGTAACAAAAATAACAAAATAAGTTAAATTTGATGTTATATAGAATTTGGATGTTTTATTTTTTGTTTTTATTTTTTCAACAGTTCTTTGAAAAAAATCGAAATCAGATGATGAAATGCACGGTAAAAAAAATTGTGGCATTGCCTCAAAAAATTTTGTGTTAAATATTTAACCCAAAATTTTTTAATACATATTTTTTTGACACAATGACGTAAAATTTTTTACTGTGTGTTTTAATTCATGTTTAACTAGATTAAAAATTATTTGTAATACTAAAAAAATTAAAAAATTTCATATACAGAAAATTTCATTTTATTTTCAAATGTTCAATTAAAAAAAAAAAAATTCACTTTTAGCGTATTTTACCCCGCCACCCTCTCTTAGAATTATTTAAATATAATAATAGAGCTTCTTAGAACAAAAATCTGTATTTAAAAAAAATTATTACATATGACGCCTGTTGAGGAGAAATTGGATGAAAAAATTCGTCAAAATTTATTAATTAAACTAATAAAAATTAAGACTTAATTTGTTCTATATAGCTCTACGAATTAATAACTGAAACTGAATAAAATAAAAGTCATAATAAATTGACAGTTATAGTATTAACAATCGTAGATTTTCAAAGGAAATTTCGTTTTAGTTTTTTTTAATGAATTTTCATAAAAATTTATTTATTGTTATTTAATTTTTTTATTTAGTATACATTACACTATTTAATCGTATGTTATTAATTTAAATGCGACTTAAAAATTAAAGTATCTTTCAAGTAAATTGGTGTTTGTTTTTCCCCAAAAATTTTTTTATTTTTCTATTTTCCAACGGTGCAATCTCTTATTACAGCGCATGTAATGTAAAAAAACTGCAGAAAACGTGATATCAATACGCTCTGATGTATTACATAAAATGTATAATTTTATATAACGGACATTTAATGTAACATGTACTTGGCCACATACAGTAATTTCATGCAAGATGCATAGTATAATAATAAAACTCAAAATAGCAATAACATTGAGGAATTCGTTATCTTTCATCGTAAAAATTACAGTAGCATGTTTGTAGATTCATTAATATTTATTAATAATATTATTATTAAAGTTACAACTGATATAATAGCAATAAATGATTCAATTTTTTTCTTTTTTTTTTTTTTTTTTCTAATAACATAGATAGATAACATTTGATTTCAATCTTTAATATTCCAAGTATTCACTTGAATCATTTTCTCTCTCTTTCTTCGCAGTAGCATTCTTTTCAAAGTAAGTGCTTACTTAGTCATAAAAATCAATAAATTTTATTGTTTTTAATAGTAAAAAAAGAACATGATATCGCTAAAGCAAATTTTCATTAATTATTGCTCCGAGTAAATTAGAAAAAATTCGCGAAAATGGAGTACCTATTTCTTAACTATTAAAAGCATAAAATTTCTTGACTTTTATGTTCAACTCTTTAACTTAATACCAGAGATCTTAATTTATCTTGTTACTTGAAGATCTTGTTACTCGACGTAAAATTGATCGTATTTTTTATTACATTTAACAATATTTTAAGAGTCCTTTTTACAACAACACATTAAATAAATTTAAGTTTATCCTTTTTGATAATATTAATGTTATCATTATGCTGAGTTGATCCTTTATGAGGCTCCTTTGTAGTGTATGAAGAAAAATGTGAGGAACATAAAATATGCGACTGGAAACGTTATTCTTGCTATTACGTCAATCGTTTTCGCCACCCGGATTGGATGCGGCGGCTCCTTTTTCCTGAGCTGAACAAAGCAACACTACTCAGGGTCATTATAGGGTCGTCTCACGCATGCATTGCATTCAAAACAAATTTTAGGTTTTCAATATGCAACTAGGATTTGATAAATTAATATTCAGACAAAAACATTAATTTTATGGGTTCTAAGCTAATTAACGATAAGGATATTTTAGTTTTGGATTGAAAAATTTTGTTTGTAAAGGGAGATAACCACTGTGACAAACAAAAAACATAAGTGATTTTTGAGAATTTTTTCGACTTTAAAATTGAAGGAATTTACTTAAATAAATGTAGTAAAAAAAAAAAATCAGTTACATGCAACGACAACTACATTAACATAGATTGAATGAACTTTGATTTTTTTTTTTTTTTCAGATATCCCGTTTTTGAAAAATCGTCTTAAAAGAGTCGTTTGTTTAATATCTTAAATGTGACACAAGCTAAGACTATTTTAAGACTCTTTCAAGATGCCAAAATAAAATTTCGAAAGCAGATTTTTAAAATTTGTTACGAAAATTAATTTTTAGACATTTTTTAGACAATTTTGCGAGTTTTCAACCTCAACATTTTTGAGTGCGCTATTAAATTGAATTTGCAATTGTTGAAAAAGTATTATCAGACAATTTTAAGACTTTTTTAAGACGCATCGTTTTAATGTTCTGGGGCTCTGTCGCTGTGAGCTCATCTAAAAATAGTCTTTAAAAATTTTTTAAAGAATTTTTTAAGACTATTTTAATATAAAAACTTTTTGAAGACCATTTTAAGATAAGCTCACAGCGACAGAACTCCGGAAAATTACGATTAGATGGAGTGTCTTTAAATAGTTCTGATAAGATCTTAATACATGATAAACTATCATATTATCATTGACGTCTACAATAAAAGTCGTTTTTTTTTACCACTATACACAGAAAAAAAAGTCATCTTGACTCAAGAAAATCATTTTCTTCAAAATTTACTTCTTGTTTCAAGTTATTCTGCTATCTTAGTTGAAAAAGTTTATTCTTGAACTAATAATGTCATATACTTATCCCAAGTAAATCTTTCTCTTGGTTTGAGAAAGTAGCGCCAACGTTGGCGACGGGATTTTTTCGAACTAAACCAAGATTTTTTTAATAAAGAATTAAATTTAAAAAAATAACCTTATGCATGATTTTTATTTTTTGTGTTCATTTAATTAGGCATTTTTGATTAATTTTTAACGTGCTGATTTTCCATTATATTACTGCTTTACAGTTAAGTGTGTAGTGACAAAAATATATGTATATACAAGTATTTGCTCGACTCATACAAAGTACACGGTTAAAAATTTGTTGCGTTAATAACTCAATAACTATAAGTGATATCGACAATCAGAAAAAAGATCCTTAAAAAGGAAGAAATTTCTGAAAAAAAAGTCTTGACTTCCGAAACTCTAGCTCCATAAACAATAATTTTTATTTAATGTTGAAAATGGGTTTCCGCGCGGCTGCTGTCCTACTCGGGCCTCGATGCGCCCGTGTGCACATCAAGCAAGTTTAAAAACCAAGAGAATGATTTACTTGGATTAGGAGGTTTTTTTCTTCACTTAAGTTGGTAAGACATTTAGAACTAGGGAATATTTGCTTAAACCAAGATTGACCCATACAAGAAAAAAATTTACTTAACTCAAGAATATATTTTATCTTCAGTTGAATATACTTGGATCAATTGAATATTACTTGACTCAAGATGACTTTTTTTTCTGTGTAGTTTTTATTAAAAAATATTGTTACTATAACATTTAACGATTTCAAACTAATTTAAGCTAAAATACACGGAAAAAAAATACTATGAAAAATTACTATAGTAACATCGTAATCCAGGACTAGACTTACAGTATGTTGATTTTTACAATGCTGCCGTCTACAGAATACAATTTGAATTATTGAAAATTACTATGTTATTTAGTAAATTTTTTTTCCGTAAGAGCAAGTGAATAAGGACGCATACT